GCCTTGGAGACCCTGTGGGCAGTTCCACTCTGTCCTCTAGGGGCGCTGTGGGTCAGAATGGACTCCAGGCAGTGGGTGTGGTTTGGGCTTTGCTTCCCTGAGGATTGACAGCCTGGGAGACCCTGTGGGCAGTTCCACTCTGTCCTCTAGGGGCGCTGTGGGTCAGAATGGACTCCAGGGCTGTGGTTATATTGCGGTGTTTCTGTTACAGCGGTGGAGACCAAGACAGTCTAGGGGACAGGACCCAGTGAGCTCAGCCTGGGGTGGGGGGGACAGCCTGGGGGAGCAGGGCTCAGTGAGCTCACCTTGGGGGGGACAGCCTGGGCGGGCCGGGAGTCTATATTTTCTGGCAGCTACTCCCACGATTCCTTAGTGCCTAAGGCATTTGACTGCTAACCAGAAGGTTGGAGGTACAAACCCACCAGCCACTCCTTGGATGGAAGGTTGCAATCTACTTCCGTAATGATACCGCCTCAGAAACCCAAGGAGGGGTTCCTATGAGTCAGGTCCAACTCCAAGGCACATAACAACAACAACAAACCCATGAGTCTCATAAACACAGGCAAGTCTGGGAAATAACCCTCAGCTCTGCATTAAGAAATGTGGGCCTTGGTCTCTAACTGGGGTGGAGGTGAGTGTGGGCCTTGGGTCCCAACTGGGATGGGGGTGAGTGTGGGCCTTGGGCTCTGACTGGGGGGTGGGGTGGAGGGAAGTGACCCCACCCCAGCTCTCTGGCTGCAGGCACAGTGGCTTATAACCTCCTGGAGAGACAGAAACTCCATTGGTCTGAGACTGGTGATGGGGACCAGCCTGGAGCCTCCGTCCCCACCCCTCTCTGCACCCCCCACTCCAAGAGTCCAGCAGAGTCTCTCCCCCACAGAGAAGGGCAGGGCGCAACCAGCACTGGTCACTCTGGACAGACTTCACCCTCAGCCAGTAGTTAAAACCTGGGGAAAGGTCTGGAAGGTAAATGAGAGGTACAGTGACATGTGAAAAGAGGAGTGCAGTACAGAGAAAGAGAGAGAGAGACAGGCAGAGAGAGAGAGCGAGAGGAAGAGAGAGAGAGAGGGAGAAAGAGAGAGGGAGAGGGAGAGGGAGGGAGGGAGAGAGAGGGAGAGGGAGGGTGCGGTGTAGTAAATTACTTAGTGTGGCTTTTCTACCCATAAGTCTTTGTAAACTCCAAGGTGGGATTTTCTACGAGCAACTGAGGAGCTCCTGATTGCTGAAGGTGTCCACCTGGAGTAGTTCTGTTGGGCGTGGCACAAAACAGTGTTCTGGGAGGTGCCCACTCTCTCAGGTGCTTAGAGTTCTGATGCTATGATTGGCTAGTTTGACCACCCTGCCGGGCTCAAAAGGAGGCCTCCTAGAGGCAGAACTCTGACTGCTGGTTCAGGAAGATGTGCTGCAGAAAGAGACACGGGCTCCTGAGACACGCGTTGCTGGGAAAGAGACGCAAGAGACACGCATTGCTGAGTGAGACACCGAGGGACATGCACTGTTGGGGGAGAGACTGTGAGCAACTGTTGGCTGAGGGATGGTGGGCTGGGAGAGAGACTGAGTGTTCTTCCTGAACTTGAGTTGTAGCCTGGTGCTTCCCTAATAAACCTCATAATCTGTGAGCTCTGTGTGGCCACTGCAGCAAATTATCGAACCCAGGAGAGAAGTGGTGGGTGCTATGGGAGGAACGGTTGGTGAAAGGGCTGGAGGGAGGCAGCATGTCTGACCTGGCAGGAATAGGCCTTGTGCTATTGATGGTGACTCTGCCTTCCTCTTGTGGGATTAGAGGAGGTCAGAACATGTGGCCTCCTTGTTGTTTTTGCAGAGGGAGAGAGAGAGGGAGAGGGAGGGAGGGAGAGAGGGAGGGAGGGAGGGAGAGAGACAAGGAGAAAGGGACACAGAGAGACTGCTGTGTGGTGAATTACCTTATGAGGCCCTTCTAGCCACAGTGTTTGTGACCCCCATAGCATGACTGGGTGGGACCGTGAAGTAAGGTGCATGGAAACACTGTAGAGGATTGGTCAGCTTTGTCATGCCGCTAGGCTTAAAGGGAGCAGTCCCAGGAGCAGACAGTGGGGCCCTCACTACCACTGGAAGAGGAGCCAGGAGTGGAGTGTGCCCCTTACCTCATGGCCTGGGGTCCCTGCACAGAGAAGCTCCCAGACCCAGGAGCTGGCGAGAGCCGTGACATTGGGGTAACGCAGGACGGTAAGAACCAGAAGACCAACACAAGACGGCATGGGGGCTTCCCAGCCCTCAGAGCTGTGGCCACGGTGGGAAGGCGGCCTACGGAGCCAGGCAGCCTGGGCAGGGCTTCCTGCAGGAGTGGGGTGCCTCTGGGCACTTAGTGGTGGAGCTAGAGAGCTTCTAACACTCGCCTGAGCAGGGCAGAGGCTGTGGGGGGAAACCTGAGAGGCCTGCCTGCAGGCCGGGCTGAGGAGAGGCCATCTTGATGGAAGAACGGTATCCTGAGCCCTCCCCGACCTGACCTGTAACCTGTTACTTCCCTAACAAACCCCGTTAATTTTGAGTGTGGTCTGTGAGTACTGTGGGGGCCAGGGCAAGGAATTACTGAACCCAGCAGAGGAGGAGAGGGGCCGGGCAGGGACAGCCGGGGTTAGGACTGGGAAAGGGCTGGAGCAAGGAGGCCCGTCTGAGCCCCACCTCCCAGGGACCCTCCTCGCTGATGCTCTCTGTCCTCCCCTTGTGAGGTGAGAGGAGGTCAGATGTCTCTACAGAGACAGAGAGGGGAGACAGGGATAGAGCCAGCAAGCAAGTGAAGAGAGAGGAGAGACAGACAGAGAGAGACAGGGAGAGAGTGAGGAGAAGAAAGGGCGAGGGAGAGACAGAGAGACAGAGACCAAGGGCGGGGAGAAAGGAGGGGACGAGAAGGTGAGAGCCACGAAGCTCCCAGCATCTCCTCCCTGAGACCGCGCATCCGCCCCCGCATCCCCCATCCACCTGCTCGTCTCCTCCACCTGGCGCACCACTGACCACACCAGGTCTGCAAGCCCCTGACCGAAGCTCCTGACGGCGGGCTGACGGCCGCTCAACACGCCGGCTCCCGAAGTACGTCCCCCTCCCTCTGGTGGTGGCCACGGCCACCCAACATGGCGGCTGGCCTGCGCATCCCTGGACCACACACTCAGAAACGGTGCAAATGGCAAATACACTGGTATCTACACAGAGACGGAGGGTGGGCTCAGCTGGCAGGGTGCCCCGCACGAAGGTCCACACCACTCCACTGGCGGCAGTCTGCTTTCACGGCCACACAGCTCGTTCGCTCCGAGCCGCGGGGAGAGGACAGGCCCAGGGAGCCAGGGAGCTGACTGGACGTTTGCAGGAAGACGCTCCTGCAGGCGCGGAGGTGAAGTCCATATGTTACGTGGAGCCCCAGAGACGAGCTATGCTTAGGGGAAGTGACGGCGTTGTCACACTGGTCAGCTCACGGTTCACTTCCCTCGAGTGTGAATTGATGTTTCATACTTTACCTCACCCAGAAAAACAAATGAAACAAACCAGCTGATGTGGCGTTGACTCTGACGGCTGGCGACGCTGGTGTGTCCGCGTGAAACTGCTCCATGGGGTTTTCAAGACCAGGACGCTTCGGGAGACACCAGATCTTCCTTTTGAGGTAGCTCTCAGTGGTTCTGAACCGCCAGCCTTTCGGGTGGTGGTCAAGCACTTCACCATCTGCCCCACCAGGGACCACAGAGGTGACTTACAAGCCTGTTAAGTCAGGCAGACGACTGTCCACAGCCAAGCTGGACAGCTCGTTCTCCAAGCCACCCTTCCAAGCCTTGGAAGCATCTCTCCAGAGACCTTCCCTTTAACCAGGACCTGCTCTGTAGTGACCTGACCCGGGCAATGGTCTGAAGGCACCTGATCACTGTGACCCACGAGTCTCCAACACACAGCCAAGCATGTCGTCAGCAGCCAGCACCTAGCAGCCCGGCCAGCACCATCTTAATTTCTGCTGCAGTTGATGAATGAAGAAATGAATGAGTCAAGTACTCAGAAGGTACCTTAGACTTTGCAGTGGGAGGAAGGGCTGTCAATCTACTTCACCATCGACAACCGTACAGAGCACAGCACCGCCCGACACACGGGTCAGAGCTGATGCAATGGCAACTGGTTTGTTTTTTCCTGGTTTTACCCTTTCTGTCTGGGGTCAAATTCACGTAACTTCCCACCTTCACGTTTTAGTAACGCCTCCATTCCCTTTACGCCAGATGAGCAGCATGGTCACGTGAACCCAAAGGCCGAGGCCGGCCACAGGGCCCAACACTCACTTGAGGTGATGTACTCCGGAGCTTTCCCGGGACTCAGTGGCACCGCTTCCTCGTAGTAGCCTTCCGGGAGAGAGGAGGTGGGCAGAGGTGGTGGCCCGCTGTCCGGAGGCTGAGGGACACAAGAGGGGGGGAAGGACACCATAGACACAAGTGTAAGCGTTAGAGGCGCGCTCTCCAGTTTCAGCCAACAACTGTGGGCGTGGAACGGGGAAGATGGGCGTCACAGCCCAGAGCCCCTCGGCGTGCGCACGACTCACACGCTCGGCCACCAGCTGGAAGGTTTGAGGGCCCAGCCCACCCACAGCTACCTCCCAAGGGAGGCCTGGCATTCTACTTCCAGAAGATTGCAGCCATGGAAACCCTGCGTGGCACAGCTCCACTCGGACGCACGGGTCACCAGGAGTTGGAGTGGCTCAGTGGCCAAGTGTTTTGTTTTTTTTCCCTAAAATGTGTTTTGTTGTTGCTGTTGGAAGGTACATAGCAGAACGTACGCCAATTCAGCCTTGTCCCACTCTCCATTCAGTGACACCAACGACACTCTTCAGGTTGGCTGACCGTCCGTACCCTCCCCTGCTGAGTGGTTCCTCCCGATTAACACAGACTCACTGCCCCTTTGGTTCCTGTCTCACTTTCCCAGTTGCTCTTGCCACCTGGATCACGTGCAGGAAGGTCTTAAAAGAGCACAGGGTTCAAGACAGACCTTTTTACTGGTTGGCCAACTGGTCTTTGGTTTCATGGCCCACAACAGAGGCCTCCAACTTACAGATCCACCAAGTCAAGCCAAGGTTCCCAGTGGAACAATGTTCCGGTGGCATCGAGGGCTTTTCGTTCACTTAAGACTCTCTGGAGTGCTGCAGTGAGGCCCCCCACTTCCCATAAAACACAAGCCCTATGCCCCAGAGGCCTCCCACAACAGCGGAACGCCCGCTGCACGGTCAGCGCTCCTCTCTCCCAGCGGATGAAGAACAGGGCACAATGGCTCGCTGCAATGTCCCCTCAGAGCCCCGCACACGGAGATCCTCCCACCCCATCTTCGATTCCGTCTTTACTCCCTTACTCAACAACCCAACCCTCCATGTTCCCATCCCTGGGCCGGCTCCCCAGACCGCTGTGATTCTGGGGAATCCTGGCTGGGTGCCGTCCAGGCCTTGCACATCTCCCCAACAAGGCAGGATGGGCACGGAGTCTGCAGCTTCTTGCCTGGCACCAGGCACAGAGCAGGGTGCCTACTCCCATGACGGCCGCTTACTGGTTGATTTGGAAACAAGGGTGTTGGCTTCCCTGCCTTTGTTTCATGACACACACGATGCTTCCAGCAGTACGCTGAGACGGCCAAGCCAGTCGTGTCCTGGGAAAGCAGCAGGACAGTCAGATCCCACAAACGTGCATGAAACAGGACGGCTCAGGTCCTCTGTGGGTGCCACACACAGTGCAGGGCTGGGAGAGCTGGGCGTGCTCTCCTCCTGGAAGGACTCTCAGAACGGACACATCCTAATTCAGAAGGCCTGGTGGCACAACAGTTAAGCACTCAGCTGCTAACTGAAAGGTTGGCACTTTGAACCCACCAAACTGTTGCCTGGTTATTACCACTGACCACTCAGATCAAGACAACAATAGAACATCCTGGACAAAGAGGGAGAGAAAAAAAGGACAAAACCCAACAAAACGAAAAGGACCAGACTTCCCAGTCGGACGGAGATACTGGACCCGCCAAGACTGTGGCCCTTACACACCATCAAGCCTGGATCTGAAACCATCACCAGCGATTGATCAACTGTCAGCCAGAAACAGGCAGACTTATACAGTGAAGAATAATAATAATACCACCAGGAACGTGCTCCTCGGCACACTCAACCATGCAAAACCAAAGCCAGCGTTTGCCCACGAACAAAGCCCAGAGGCAGGAAGGGGCAGGAGGGAAGGGCGGGTGGAAACGGAGAGACCAGGGTAAATGAGAAGAATCCTGTTACACTGGGGGCTTGCAACCAGTGCCAAGAAACAAAATGGGTGCAAACTGTTGAATGCGAAATGAATTTGCTCTACAAAATTTTACCCAAACTGGAGTGTTCTGGTAAGATGGCGGACTAGGCAGAAAGACTGCACAGACCCTTTTCAACAAAGAAAAGGGGAACCAATTAACACAGACACAGAAGATAATCCTGGACCCCTGAGCTTTGAAGGGAAGGATATAGAAGTGGACTAAACTCCAAATGCAGAAGAATTTGCATGAAAATACCAACAAAGGAGACATATAGAGCTGTGACTGTCTGGCAGCGATCCTGACGGCACAGACAGCTTGGAGATTGCCAAGTGGTGGTAGGACCTAAGGATTAACCTAAAAATCACCCTGCTAGCCAGGGACTTCACGGAGGACTGCTCTGGTGGCTGGGGAATAAAAGGGGAAGCAGCAGTGAAGAGGAAGGCAGGCTGAGCTGTGGACTTCTGTCTGTCTGGAGGGTGCAGCCATTTGGAATGTTTACAAGTGGTTTGACCTTTTGGATATTTAAAGCAACAGCGTTCTCCCAGATTCCAGGGACCTAAGAACAGGCTCCCCTTGCCAGGAACCCCAAGGACATTCTGGACCTGGATGATTGGAAAGATGGTTATTCATTTGTTATTTTTGTCTAACTGAGTGGGAGACAGCAACAGTCCCCATATGACACAACTATGACACACTCACACCTCCTACAGCTTCAGTTACTGAATAAGAGTCACCACCTCCTTCTCCATCAATGGGCCAACGATAAACAACCAGCAAGAAGAGACTGACTCACCCTTAGCTGCTCTTCACAACCAGTTAACAGAGATCTAAATACAATGACATCACAATGTCTCAGAGACAACAGACCATCACAGTCAACACAAGTGTGCAAGCAGCCATCTAGATGCAATGATGGGTCTCTCCTCATCCAGAGCAAAGAAGGATGAAGAAAACCAAAGATGCATGGAAACAATTAGTCCAAGCAACTGGTACACCATGCGATCCTCAGCCAATGTGACTATATGAGACCAGAAGAACTAGATGGTGCCCGGCTAACACTGTCAGCCATTCACAGGGGGATCTATGTAGGAGATGCTGGATGGAGTGGGAAAACAATGTAGAATAAAACTTAAAATCATTGAAAAAAAAAAAAAGGGACCAGGTTTGCTGGTCTGATCAAACCTGATGTAACCCCTAGCTCCCCTTCAGGCCTGGAACTGAACCCACTCCTGTGGCTTCCAGCCAAACAAAAGACAGGCACAGGAGCTGAACACTTACATTAGGTAGATGCACTCCTTGGAGAGAACAATCATGGGAGAACACAAGGGAGACAGGGAGACAGCTCGGGGGGCAGGAGTGCATGGGAAGGAAGGACACAGGAAAGAGGTAACTATGGGGAGGAAGTGAGAGGGGAGCTGTTGCATTGTGGGAAATTGCAGTTAATGTCATGAGACAAAGTGTATGTGAGCTGCTGCATGGAAGATGAATTCGCTCTGTAAACTTTCACCCAAATCACAATAAACATTATTTTTAAAAAAATGCATAAGGATGTTCAATAAGTTTGCTTCCCAAAGTCTAGAAACCTTCTCAATACCCGTTTAGAGAAGCGTATTTAAACACACGGACAGGTGAGCACGCAGTCATCACTGTATCTCTTCGTCTACTCGGGAAGTCTCCACTGGACACTGTTGTGTGCATCGGAGTTTGGGTGAAAGTTTACAGAGCAAATTCATTTCCTCTTCAACAACTGATACACATTTGGTTTTGTGACCTTGGCTGCAATCCCGTCAATGTAACTGCTCTCTTCCCACTTCCTCTCTGATTCTCTGTTTCCATCCATCCGACCTTCTTTCCTGCCCCTTCCTGCCTTCTGAGCTTTGTTGTTGGGCAAGTGCTGCCCTTTTGATCCCATGTGGTTGACTCTTCTGGGGAGTATGTTCCTCACGGTGTTAATGTTCACGTTATGGACCTCCCCATTGTGACTGACAGATGATCCCAGAGGTGGTTTCACGTCCAGGTATGAAGGATCTGTAAGGGCCAGTCTGAGGGCCTAATAGATAGTATTGAATGGAAAACCAAGTCTCCTCCAACCAGTTCCACAGAAAATGTGTGTTTCTCCTTCTAGTGGTGGGTGTTCTTAGGTGTCGGGGAGTCGGGTCCTACTCACAGCAGCCTTACCTATGACAGGAAACAACACCGTCCAGCCCACGCCATGCTCACAGCCCACGGCTGGAGCCGCTGTGTCAGTCTACCTCCTTGAGGGCCTCCCCTTTTCTGCTGATCCACCAATTCCCAGGCAGCAGGCCCTTCTCCAGAACTACCTTTGCCAGAGGAACTAACAGGTCTGTCCTGGAGGAAGAGCAGCCGGAATGTTCCTTGGAGGCGAGAATGGCCAGACTTCGTCTCACCTACTTTGGTCATGTTGTCAGAGGGGACCAGTCCCTGGAGAAGGATATCGTGCTCAGTAATGTCAGCAGGGTTGCCCATGGTAGACAGGTTTCAGGGGAGCTTCCAGACTAAGACACTTGGAAGAAGGAAGATGCCATCCACTTCTCAAAGGATTGGCCAGTGAAAACCTTATGAATAGCAGTGAAACACTGTCTGATATATTGCTGTAACGGTGAATAGCCCTGAAATAATGTCCTACATAGTACCATTAGATGAGCTCCTCAGGTCAGAAGGCTCTCAAAATACAACAGAGGAAGAGCTGCCTCCTCAGAGGAGAGCTGGCCTTAATGATGTGGGTGGAGTACAGCTTTCGTTTGCTGATGTGGCACAACTCAAAATGGGAAGAAACAGCTGCAGACATCCATTAACACTCCGAACATGGACTGTATGAAGTATGAATCTAGGGAAATTGGAAGCTGTCAAAAATGAAATGGAATGCATGAAAGTTGATATTCTAGGCAGCAGTGAGCTAAAATGGACTGGTTTTGGCCATTTTGAATCAGACAACCATATGATCTACTATGCCAGGAATGACAATTTGAAGAGGAATGGCGTGGCATTCATCATCACAAAGGATGTTTCAAGATCTGTCCTGAAGTACAGTGCTGTCAGTGATAGGATAATATTTATACACCTACAAGGAAGAACAGTTAATACTACAATTATTCAAATTTATGCAC